CCAAAACCCGGAGCTGGCACCGCCGCCGCGGGAGCTGCGGCCTCCGGACCCCCGCCCGCGGCCTGCCGCAGGGGCAGGGAGCTGCGGGACGCGGCGCTCGGGGACCCGGGGGGGCTTTTCCCCACCTTTCCCCGCGCTCCTCGGCGGTACTGGAAGAGCCTGGCTGCTGCCAGGGCGAGGGTTGGCACTCCCGGGTGCCCAGGCTGGCACAGGTGATGGCTGCCATCGTGACTGACCTGCGGGAGCAGCGCCGGGAGCCAGCCCCTGGCACCAGCGTGTGGGAGCGGCCGGGGTCTGCCCGCGTGAACCCCGACACACAGAGCACGCCTATGCACAAACACCCTGCCTCGACTTCTTAACCCACAAAATGTCCCTTTCCACACAAGCAGTCACGGCAGCACATGGGCTGTTTTTTCCCTTTGAATATTCCAAACTGCATCTGCTGAACCAGAAAATGAAGCTATCCAAACAGCTCATGATAATGTTCAATCCGAACATGATAATATGCATGTCTAATATCACTACAACAACAAATGTCGACAAGAAACCGTATCTCTGTTCCTTCATTTGCCTCCATTTTAGATCCTGAAATGAAACTTCAAGCTAGACAACCCTATAGGTATTCCTTTTTGCTTCAAATCTCTTGCCTTGCAAACTGGCACCTCAGTGCAAAAACAGCAGTACAGCACCTGGCTCGTCCTAAACTCCCCCTGCACAGAAACCACCTGCACTGCTCAGACGTGATGCTGGACACATTGGGACACAAGAACACTAGAAAAAGAATGGATGTTACTCTGCAGTCCCCAAATACTTTCAGCTTTTATCTCCAAATAGTCCCCCATACTTTCAAAGATGGCTTACTGAAAAATTAATATTTTGATAGATACGTACGTGTGCAAAATCCTGGTCCCAACTAAAATCAAAGAGAGATTGCCATCAACTTCAATCAAACAAAATAGTATTTTAATCTGTCTTGAAAAGTACGTAGCAAAAAGAAACTAGATTTTACAAGCAGAAGGATTTAGTTTAGTTGTTTTTTGTTTTTTTCAATGGCTCCCTCACTCAGGTGGGAAACGCTGAATCAAGGAAGAGAAACTGGTACTGTCTAATTTGAGGACACATCAGAGGAAGGTGAAAAGGGCAGGACCCAGAAAATGAACAGGTACTGCTCCACCTGTGGTTGGGTATGCGGAGTTTTCAGGAGACCATGAAATTCAAATGCCAGATATGTGGTTTTATGGTACTGCTTGATCTTGACTCTGGAAGCTGATTTCATCTTCCGTCTTACATAGGTGGGGGGGAGCTGGGGTAACACACTACAGGATTGACAGCATCTGCCAAGTCAAAATATGCATTTTTAAAGTGTTACTAAGCTGCTTTTTTTTAGGACAGACAACTTTTTTTTCCTATTGACATTTTTTTCTGTCTGGAGAGACAAAAAGCACCTCAGATACAGATAGGTTTGGAAGCACAGTTCAGGGTGACTGCTGTTTTTGGAGGCTGTCAGACACAGGATATATGATGAATAGCTTTTGTGAAGAGCAGTCATGTTTGCTCCCTGCCACAGCACTATGAGAGCCCAAAACTGAATGGCTTGGTTAGAAATCACTAACTGGGTCTGAATTTTCATAGTCCTTCAGTGACAGAAGCTGTAATTTATGATGCACAAGATGTGTGTAGCCATATTCATTACCTGTGTAAATACCTCAGTTTGAGACCTAAGTCCCAAACGTGGCTAGTGTCAGTCAGTCTGCAGGAATCTGCCTTGTTTCTTCCCCTCCTCTCCCCAGCAGTTTTCCTCTTTCATCTACTAACACTGGGATTTTTGGTGCACACTTGTTCCCAGTTTTGTAACGGCTCAGTGCCAATAAACAGAATGTTACAGGATCCTGGTATATCCTGCTTTTACCTTTCTCCAAAAGAGGGAAAGTGTTTCTCATTTCCTTTCTCCCCCTCGAAAAACCCCATGACCCTTTTGGGTCTCTTTCTCCTGAGAAAAGATCACACAGTTCAAGAATGATATGCACAAGCAACCTGTGCCCAGAAAGAACTTCTAGCTGTAATTATATTCCCAACCCTCCCTTTGCTCTTCCCAAACACAGTACTTATCCCAACATAAGTGAATTACAAAATCCTAGAAGCAATAATAAACAACAGAGAAATTTTCACCCCCTTTGGACACAGCTCTTTTTTTTTTTTTCCCAGAGAGAAACCATAGCTATCATATATGAATATGTCTCCTCTGCACACAGGTAAATCTAAAACTCTATAAAACGTTGCAGCGGTGCTGCTTCACCAAACAACTTCCAGTACAAATTTTACACAGGAATAAAAACAAAATCTAGACCAAGGAGAGAAGACTCTTCCTGGTCCTCCCCTCTCTTCTGAGGCAATCAGTGTGGGATCCTCTTTGAGTTCCTGAAAAATGAGTTATTTCACATTGCTTCTGCCCCTTCATATCAGGCAACATATGCATATATACATATATTTATATATGCACATTTATATATGCACATATTTATAAATATAAGTACACATGGAGTGAATATGTGTGTGAAAAAACGAGATTTGCCTTCTACTTTTGTGCTAAATTTGGTGCTATCCCATCATAAAACCAGATAATACAGCATAAACCCTCCTGGAGGGAAACTGGAGACACCTTTACTTCCTGCTTTCCTCTTTGAGTTCCCACCTCAGGATGCAGTGTTTGTGAGCCTCAGGCTGAATGCTGGGGAGCACAAGCTGCTTGCTTGAGGCCACGTTTATATTCTTGTATGGAGGAGGATTGACAACCCAACTGAAGCCACACTGGGTGGCCACCCCTGCCACAAAGTCAGTCTCGTTTCTTGTGCCTGTTCTGCTTGGAGTAAGAAGGGACAAAACCCCAGTAAGAATTAATGTGGAGGTCCTACAGATGCAGCTAGAGACCTGCTCTGGTTGCCCCTCCAATCCAGAACAGGACTGATGCAGAGCTTTTTCTTGCAAACACTAGGTAAAAGTGGAGAAAGTTTCTGTACAGCAACCCTGCAGATCATTTAAAGCCCATCTTCCCTTTACACGGCCTCCTTTGCGGCTTTGGTTCCATGTTAAAAAAAAGAGCAAATGGAAAGATGGAGGTAATCGAAAGCATAGGAGGGACCTAAGCCACTGGTAAAGAGATTCTTCTGCCTTGTCAGTCTTCCTGCCCCAACTTTCACAGGGATCTCTGAACTCTCTGCTGACACTGTCCTCAAGCATGGGCACCGTACTAGGTGAGTAACACTGGTGCCCTGATCTCTGCTTCTCCTCAATGACCTCTCATTTTCATGTAGCTTTTCTGCTGCAACTCACGAGTGGCTGAGTTTTTACTCCACCTCAGCATCAAACTCGGGAGGAAAAAAAAGATAAAAATTAATTGTAACTGCATAGGCATGCAAGCAAAATAATTCTTTCTCTCTAGTAATAAATTACTGGTAAGTTTCTCTCTCTGTAGATGTCAAATATTAACACAAAAGTACACACTGCATGGAAGGCTACATTTGGAGTTTTATACGATATGTGAACCAGGAACGAAAAAAAATTATGACTTTAACCGTGTTAAAAATACTGACTAGGGGTTTAGGAAAAAACCTACACGTACTTTGCAGAGAAGTGAATATCACGCTCAAAACCAAATCTAACCTTTATTCTTTCATTTAAACCCACGACCTCAAAAAAGTCATTACAATTTTTTGAGAGGGGCTCATCTGTTTTAAGAAGCAGGATGGGAGACATGCCAGAAAAGATGAGGTATGCATTTACACAGTGACTGTGGACCTGATCCCGAATTGCCTTCATGTCCATTGATTAAGGACAAATTCACTGATGCAGAAGAGGGTCTGGCAATGCTGAAGGGCCTGGCAAAGCTCTGAGTAGGTCCTTGGCTCCTTGACACGGTTGTTTCCCAAGCCATACTCCTTTACTTGGCAGTTGCCACTGTGTAACTCACCTGACAAACCTACCTCTGTGCCCACTCCTCTCCCATCTTTGTGCAGCACAGGGAGCAAAAGGGAGAAAGCAGCAAAAGGGAGAAAGCAGGTGATGTGATGGAGTAGAAGGCCGTGGGCTTAGGATAATAGTCTGAAGAAAAAGAAGAGTTTTTCACAGAAAAACTGTAGGCAGCAGACCACAGAAATGACAATGATAGCCTTTAGCCCTGAGAAAGCATTTGTAAAGCGGAGGATTAGGTCTAGCAGGAGCCACATGCTCCTTGGGAAGCCTGTGTAGAAAAGCATCAGGTGAAAAGCAGATTTGCTGTATGATTACACTAAAGAAAGAAGACAATCCTCTTTCATTCAAGCTAGTTATTCCTCATCCAAGCTAGTTATTCCTCATCCATGTCCCAAAGAAAGCAGAATGAACAGGGAACTTTTGCTATGGCCATGCCATCAGCTCAGGGCCTCCCTTTAAGACCTTTACTGGTAAAATAATTTTGGTGTTTACTGACTAGAATTTCCTTATCTGTGAAGAGAGACTCCCATGGCATCATTCCACACAGGTCCATCTGTTGGTACCAGAGGCAGAAGCAGCTGATTGAAACTAACATAAATCCAGCAACATCCTAATAGCATTTAAAAGACTAAGCAATCTCCTGTGGTTTAAATATTCTTACATATTACGATGAAATAACATTGTTAAACAAAATGACACAGATGCATTTGCAATACGCAAAAGGGATATGTTTTTGATGACATCAAAGACAACGGTATTATAGGATATGTTACGTTTTTGGCATTTGACTTTCTGTCAGTATCCCAGTTTATGAAGAATTTCACTTGGCTGGACACACCAAGGGCACTTCCCCAACTTTCCCTCCCCCCGCTCCCCCCGCAAACAAAGTAATGCATTCCCATTTTAAGGCAGCGGAAAATTAGTTCTAAACAGTTGTTTAGGGGAGTAATTAGGATTAAACAGATTAAAGCCAGGCAAAACATGCTAATATTG